TTGATACTTTAAAAATCCACTAGCATTTAATCATTTTTCATTTTGGCTATTCTCATTGTTCAGAGAGCATTGAAATCATATACAAGACTTTTCATTCTATAAATTCCTGCTTTCCCTGTTCTGCCCTGGCACCCTTCGCTCCAGCTTCAGTGAATGACAGTTACTGTGACCAGAGCTACTTAAGAGAGGGAGGGTAGGGGCTGCTGTCATGGCTCAGTGGTTAAGAGCCCAGCTGGTGTTCCAGAAGATGCCTGTTCTGTTCCCAGTATGCACAGTGTGCAGTGTGCAGTGCATAGTGTGCAGTGCGGAATGTGCAGTGTGGAGTGTGCAGTGTGGAGTGCGTAGTGTGCAGTGTGTGGTGCAGAGCGTGCAGTGTGGAGTGTGGAGTGTGGAGTATACAATGCAGTGCACGGTTCGAAGCGTGCAGTGTGGAGTGTGCAGTGCGGAGTGTGTAGTGTGCAGTGTGTGGTGCAGAGCGTGCAGTGTGGAGTGTGGAGTGTACAGTATGGAGTGTGCAGTGCGGAGTGCAGTGTGCAGTGTGGACTGTGCAGTGCAGAGTGTGATGTGAGGAGTGTGCAGTGCGGAGTGTGCTGTGTGGAGTGTGCAGTGCGGAGCGTGCTGTGCGGAGTGTGCAGTGTGGAGTGTGCTGTGCGGAGTGTGCAGTGCGGAGTGTGCAGTGAGGACTGTGCAGTGCGGAGTGTGCAGTGCAGAGTGTGCTGTGTGGAGTGTGCTGTGCAGAGTGTGCAGTGAGGAGTGTGCAGTGCAGAGTGTGGAGTGTGCAGTGCGCAGTGTGTACTGCGGAGTGTGCAGTGCGGAGTGTGCAGTGCGCAGTGCAGAGTGTGCAGTGCGGAGTGTGCTGTGCGGAGCGTGCTGTGCAGAGTGTGCAGTGCAGAGTGTGCTGTGTGCAGTGCGGAGTGTGCAGTGTGGAGTGTGCAGTGCAGAGTGTGCACTGCAGAGTGTGCAGCATCTTCAATCACAGCTGCTAACATTAACACAGGTTCAGTTTTCTTATAAACATGAAGGTTCAAAGAAAGGTGAGATTAAAAGTCTTAAATTAGCCGGGCGGTGGTGGCGCACGCCTTTAATCCCAGCACTCGGGAGGCAGAGCCAGGCGGATCTCTGTGAGTTCGAGGCCAGCCTGGGCTACCAAGTGAGTTCCAGGAGAGGCGCAAAGCTACACAGAGAAACCCTGTCTCGAAAAACCAAAAAAAAAAAAAAAAAAAAAGTCTTAAATTATACATAAACTGTACTTTTTATACTTGAATTCTAGGAGCATGAGGAAATTAGAAGCTATTGACTTATATTCACATATACTGACATAATAGTCATATATTAATTTATATAGCTGTATGTCAGCACAGCGTCCAAGAACGGAGTCATGCGAGGGAATTGTGAGTGCTTGTAAGAAAACAAGACAAGAGTCTTGTGACCTCAGTTACTTCAAAACACAGAATTGTTCTTGGAGTATGTTTCTGGCTCCTCCCAGGTGTTACGGGTGGGAATGAATTTGCTTCAGTTGTGGCCATTCATGTGCTTCTATAGAAAAATATGTTTTACCACGTGTGGCTTGTCTTTGTGATTGAAGACTTCACTTAGGTGACTCTTCTTAACCCTCAGTAGAAATTGTCTGATGCTCTGAGTAAAGTTAACTATTGCTTGAGACTTTATCCACCTCATTTTTAGGCCCCGGTCTCCCTGGTTCATGACACAACTAGAGCCGTAAACAGCTGCATGCGTTTTCTACTTTAGACACTTGGAGTATTTTCTTTTTTCCTGCTGGGATATAAATGCCTAACTGAGTGTGATCTCCAATGAGCTTATATTCTAGGTCATTTGGGTAATAGATTGGGAAGTAATATATATATACATATATATATGAATGAGAATATATGAGAATTGTACAGTCACCCTCTCTCCCTCCCTCATGCTGCCCCTCTGTGTGTGTGCACTTGCATGCGTGTGTGTGTGTGTGTGTGTGTATGTGTGTGTGTGTGTGTGTGTGTGTGTGTGAGACAGGACCAGGGAGTGGAGAGGACTTTGAGGAACATGGCAATAGGTAGAAGACCTAGAGATTTTGAATGAGTCAAAGATATCTTGTTAAGAACCATGAAAATATGGCATCTTCTAAGACCCCGAGGAAACTCATTTACTCTCCGCATTTACCAGATGAGGTTTCTGAAGGCAGGGAAATCACTTCTCATATCCCACAACAGTTTAGAAGTGAAGCCACGTCCACTCATGTCCTCTCATTTTTTCAAATAAGATTTATTTATTTGTTATGTAACAGAGTTCTGCCTGCATATATACCTGCACACCAGAAAAGGGCACCAGATCTCATTCCAGATGGTTGTGAGCCACCTGTGGTTGCTGGGAATTGAACTCAGGACCCCTGGAAGAACAGCCAGTGCTTTTAACCTCTGAGCCATCTCTACAGTCCCCAAATCTCTCTCTCTCTCTCTCTCTCTTTTTTAATAGAACAATGTTTGGTGTCATTTCTTAGGATCAATTTACTTATAACCTTGTTTATATTGTGACTTGGTATCCTTTAATATAATGCCAATATATGCTATTTATTTTAGAGGTAATTTAAAGAATTAAAAGAAGTAATATATTAAAAATGTACTTTGAGTGCTATGAAGTATTTAGAAGAGTAAAAATATTCGAGATGAACAATTTATGAAGTGTAATAGATGTTAGACTTCATCACAAAACTATAAAATATGAAGTTATTTAGCTTTTAGATAGATGTTTGTTGAAGTCAGTTTTTTGTAATTTGAAGTAATTCATTATTAGCTCATTACCATTATTTTGAAATTTGACTTTATAAGTTTGCTCAGTAATTTTTTTATATAAAATTATTCTTACAGCATTCATGTCTTCTGAGCTTCATAGAGTTAAGAATTTCCCTGGAGTGTGGATAGGTGAAATGACTCAGCAGAAAAGGGTCTTTCTGCCAAGTCTGAGGAGCTGAGTTCAGACTCTGACACGGGGAAAGGAGAGAAGTGACCCCTACAGGTTTTCCTTTCACTTCCTTACATGCCTAATATTTGTGGCCCCTCAATAAATAAGTATATAAATAAACAAATGTAAGACAAAAGGGTATATAAAGCAAAAAAAATCAATGGGTAGAAATGTAATTTAATTATAATCTCAAAAACAAGAAAAGTAATAAGGTAAATAAAAAATTTCATGGTTTAAATAAGTCAGGATTCATCTTTCTATCTGTATGACATTTAAACACACATCTCTTGGGGCTGGAGAGTTGGCTCAGTGATGAAAAGTACTTGTTGCTTCTGCAGAGGACCTGGGTTAGATTCCCATCACACATATGGCAGCTCACAACCGTGAATATCTCCAGTTCCAGAGGAAGCAGTAACCTCTTCTGACCTCCTTGAGCACCAGGCATGCACTTGGTGCACTTACCACATGCAGGCGAAACACTAATACACAGAAGCCGAAATAAACAAACCTAAAAAGAACCCAATTTCTTTATATCTCAAGAAAGCATACTTTTAAAAGTTTTACATTTTTAAAATAATTTGTTGTCAAATTATTCAAAGTAAGTTTCCAGTCTAGAAAGATATTTCTAGATATATCATGAATTTTGACCACATTTAGCCTCTGTCTCCCTTTCCCCACCTCTTCCCCTTTGGCACGGGTCACCTCCCTTGCTTCAGTTTCCCATTAGCCGCTTTAATGTCCTGTGGGGTTGTTTTTGTATGTGTGATTATACCTGTGAAAATCTATAATTCACAAATGAGAGAAAATGCGTTATTTGTGTTTGCTTTGCTCAGTGTGAAAATCTCCAGCTGCATCTATTTTCCAGGAAGGGTCATGATTTAGTTCTTCTTTGTGGTTGAAAACAATGCTATTGTGTATGTACACCACATTTATTCATATATTAATTTACTGGTAGATACCCAGGTTAATTCTTTAACTTGGTTATTTTGAATAGTGTTTCTTTAAACACGGACTCTGTGATATGCTGTCTTAGACCCATTTGAGTATGTATGTAGGATGTGGTATAACTAGATTATGTGATAGTTTTAATTTTCCAGAACCTCCATACTGATTTCCCAGTACCTTGACTAATTTATTTTGTCACCAGCAATGTACAAGCATTTTCTTCTGTCCTGTTTCCTACTCAACATTTGCTGTTGTTTGTTTTCTTGATGGCAGTCATTCTGACGTGGTAATAGGAAACACAATGTAATTTTTATTTGCATTTTTCTGATGGCTAAAGATGCTGAATATTTTTATATGTTTATTTATAATCTTTACATTATCAGTTGAGGATCAAATGCTCTTTTCATGATCGTATTTATTGATTTATTGTTACTTTGGGTTTGGGTATTTAGTTTTTTGTATTGTTTATAGTTTTTAAATTTGTATATTATGGAGATTAATTCTACAGATTTTTGATCCTTTTTGATATACAGAAACTTTTAAATTTCATGCAATCTCATTTGTCAGTTCTTGACATTATTTCCTGGCTTTGAGGTCCTTTTCATTAGAAGTCCTTACCTAGACCTGGGCCTCAACACTGCAGAACTTCCGGTCTCACATTATGGTTTTTGATATACTTTGAGTCTGTTTTTGTACAAGGTGTGAGAGAAAGATCTAGTTTCATTCTTCTTCATGTGAATATTATTTTCCAGTGTCATTTGTTGAAGGCATTTTCACCAACGCATGTTCTGGGAATCTTTGTAAAAATGCATCTGGCTGTAGCTGCATGGGTTGAATCTTGGGTCCTCTCTTCTGTCCCACTAATCTTTTGAGTCTCTTTCCCATCATCCTTGTGATCCTCTTTAAAGATTTGGTCCCCTAAGGTACTCAATATTAAATACAATTAAGGAAACTGACGGTGGTTAATAAGCACGAAGTTATTCTTACTCACTAGATGATGATTTACCACCTGGGGCTTTTGCCATTTGTCACAGATTAGTTTATAATGGAGCACGTAGATTCTGGTGCAGTTCAATGATGTAAATGTCACTCACCTTCTGTGTCTGTCGCTCCCATTCCTGGCTGTTTCACAGCGTCATGTCCATTCTGTCCCATCTTCCCTCTGTTTCGAAGAAAAAAAAAACGAGATCTTTAGAATAGGGGTTTGGTTTGGAGCAATAAACTAACATTACATATTCAGAGTCAATCATGGATGATTTAAATGGCAAATATGCAGTTAATTATGCTATGTCACATTAATTTTAGAATTGGGACTTCATTATTATTCCTAGCCAGTCTAAACATATTATCACAGAAATCAACACATTTTATTTTTAAACTCATTTATAAAAAATAAACTCATGAAATTCTTAGATTTTTCCCCCATTTAAAAAAAAAAATCTTTCAACACACAAACAACTTAAAAAATACTCAAATTAACAGAGACTACATGGTTCTTCAATATATGTATATATACACAGTAGCTAAATCTAGTCAAACATACCCACATCCTCAAACATTTATCCTTGCTTTTAATTTTTTTTCCAAAGGAGCTTTTTCTTCAAGAAGGAGCTATATCTTTATCATAATGAAGTGTTACAGGTTCTTTAGTGAGAAAGTAAATAATGAATTAAGTAACACATAGAAATAATTTCATAACTGAAATAGGTATTTCTTAGATGATAACAAGTGGCCAATAGGTATATGAAAAAATTCAACACCATAATCGTGAGGTAACACATCAAAGCAGCAGGGAGACATTGCATTACTCTAGGAGAAATGTTTCGGCATATCAAACAAACTCTGCCATGAGTGAGGCGAGGAGGCTTACACACTACTTTGGGAATTTCAATCAGTATAGCCATTATGGGGAACGGTATGACCTTCATAAAAAATGAAAAGTAAATTTTAGCAGTGTGTCAAGGTCAATGCAGAGACTCATAACTCCTCGAAGTACTGATGACAAGGACTGTGTAACCCCAAATGTAACATCTGTTTCACCCACTTCATGGAGGGCGAAAAGACTGAGTGAGCCAGAGGACGAGAAGGAATGCTATAAAATGCTATCTTCTGGGTATGAAATGGCTTTTGCTGTCACAAACATATAGTAACTGTGAATATCTACCTGACTTGTATACATATGATTGGAAATGAAACTGGTGGGGACTGGGAGGAAACAAATTGAGAAGAAGGGAAACAACATGTATGAGGCAATGAGAAAAGGTATGAGAGAGAGGAATATGATCACAAAGCATTGTATACAAGAAGAAACCAAGAATACAGCACACACACAAAAAAGCTAATGCTGTGGATAGTGCTCTGTATAAATAAAGTGCCTATTGGCCAGTAGCCAGGCAGGAAGTATAGGCAGGACAAAGAGAGAGGAGAATTCTGGGAGGTGGAAAGTTGAGGCAGGGAGACGCTGCTAGCCGCTGCCATGACAAGCAAGATGTAAGGTACCGGTAAGCCATAAGCCATGTGGCAACTTATAGACTAATAGAAATGAGTTAATTTAAGATATAAGAACTAGATAACAAGAAGCCTGCCATGATCATACAGTTTATAAATAATGTAAATCTCTATGTATTTACTTGGTTGGGTCTGAGTGGCTGTGGGACTGGCAGGTGAGAGAGATTTGTCCTGACCGTGGGCCAGGCAGGACCAGGAAAACTCTAGCTACAAGCTAACACTGAAATAAAGACTTTTACACTTAATAAAGGTTAAAAGTCAAGCTACCGTGCGATCTCACAGTCCTACAGGGAAATATACATATAACAGGAATATAATCAATATGTTGTAGATATCTGTACTTCAATGTTTATTGAAGCTCTGGCCACAATATTAATAAAATCAGTGCCAAACCCACAAAATGGGTCAGTGAATATCTCTCTGATGAATGCTTAAAGAGACTATGTTAGATGTGCAGCAGAAGGCACTACTTAATTATAGAAAGAATGGTATCCAGTTATTTGGAACAACAAGGGTGGAGCTAGACCACACTGAGTTAAGTGAAATAAAGCAAGCACCGAAAGACAAATATTGTACGACTTCACTCATATTTAGAATCTAAAAATTTCTATTGCACAGACATGAGAATGTTGTTACCAGATGCTGGGAGAATAAGGAGGGGAAGACACAGGGAAGGCTGCTTGATGGGTTGTTAGTTACAGATAAACAAGTTCTAGTATGATACTCTACCGTCAACTGACTGGACCTAATAATAAGGCATTCCAAAAAGCCTTAAAAGCACTCCGTTTGTCTTCACCGTGAAGAGTTGAGAAATGTTTGAGGAAATCAATGCTTATCTTTGCTTGAGCATTGCATAGTGTATATATTTAGCCAAACTTTATATGGGTTTCATCAACAGATACACATTTGTGTCATTTAGAAAATAAAAAAAACTACACCTTAAAATATTTTAATAACATAGACTTTTAATTCTACTCCATGAATTTTTAGGTCCTTCCTGTGTTTTCACGTGTTTTAAACAAACCACTTTCGTATCACACTGCCTGCTCTTTGCTTACGGTTCTGCTGTCTTTTGTCATGTGGAATCTAAACCAAAGGACACGTATGTATGTATGTATGTATGTATGTATGTATGTATGTATGTATGTATGTATTTGTTTATTTGAGGACAGTGGAAAAGGCCTATGAAGGTTGAGCCCAGTGCCTGAGTAACTATAGATAGTCAAATAAGTATATAGTATTAATAATTAGACAATACATTTAGTAACTTTGAATTTAGCCAAAAATCTGTCTCATTTCTAATGTTTGCCTCAAGGCTTTGGTCAAGGCAACTGAAAAAAACACTTTAAAGTACTTTAAAACTGTGAGAGTAGAATGCTGGCTGGATACCAACCAAAAGGCTGTAGGCTACCTTTTGTTGCTTCTGCTGGAGGAAAGGTCTCATGACATCCAGTGGATTTTGGAATTGCCTTTAAATGCACTTGGATTCTATCACAACATGATGGAATAATACTCAAATGTGCAGCTGGGTGTGGTGACTCACGCCTTTAGTCCCAGCACTTAGGAGACAGAGGCAGGTGGATCTCTGTGAGTTTGAGGCCATCCTAGTATACATTGAGAGTTCCAGGACAGCCAAAGTTACATAGTGAGACCTTGTCTTAAAACAACAATAACAACAAAAAACAACACACACACACATAAACCTTAAACATGCTAAATGAAAGCATGAATTGAAGAGTGCCTCGATACAAAAACTTCTAGATTGTAATTCTGATACAGAAATATTTATTAACAAATATTTATTTTTATTTCCACAAAACATTGCTGATTTCCTGGATCTACTAAAATTGTAACTACTCTTGTATCATGAGTCTAATTATTTCTGTTAAAAAACTACTTTTAATTTAAAAAATCCTCTTATCACTATATTCCAGATAAGAGTCTGAAATGTTTCTATATGTAATAAAAGGAAACATGTAAATTTAGAAATCATTTTATCTTCAAAGCCACTATATTGTTCCATTATAACAATTTTAGGTCAAATATTTAAGCACAGAATTCTATTTAATGATTATGTAAGGACCACATGCATGCAGATTATATAATTCCCAACATTTATATGTATGTATATGTTCATGTTTGTATATCTGTGAGCGATCTAGATGTTTATGTAGACTGTCTCTATATGAATTCGCAGTCTGCTTAAGCAGAATACAGAATTTCACTTCCATTTATTTAATTTTGTTGTACTGAAGACTGACCCCAGGTTTGTTCACATTCTAGGCAATTGCTCTACCACTGGGCTATATTTCCTGCTGACTTTCAGTTTGTGTAATTGTTTCATTAAGATGATATTAGTTAGGTTAAGTAAACGAATGCTAAGGGCTTAGCTGCAGTATGTATGCTGGGAGAATGAACCAAAATGTACCTTGTTCCTAGGCAAAACCCAGCAAAGCATGAGCATCACTTCAGTACTGCCAGAACAGTCGATCAGAGTATTGAAAATTACTCCTTATATTATGTCAAAGTTTATAAAAATTGTTATAATTCTATTTTAAGTAATTTAAGTTTAAGTAATAAAAAATTAGACCTGAGTCATCAATTTTATTTTTTAATGATCATGCCTGAAAATAGTCTTTACTTCCTGTGAAAACTGAGTTTAATTTTTAAGAAGTATCAAAATGTGCAGTAAGTACACCTGAAGAATGCATGAAATCTTGGAGCACATTGGAATAGGGAAACTAAATGTTGTGCAGCTGTGAGTTGTGTGAAGCAGGCAATTTTCCTGAGTTCTCAACAAATTGTCTCCAATTCAGAGCATTCAGATAGTATATGCTGTACCTTAAATGTCCAAGTCAGTCACTTTATAGTTATTGAACACTTGTTCTAGGTCAAATAACAATTGTGTGAGACACAGAGAGACACTGAAGAGAAGGAACAAATATTGTTTCTTACATATATCATGTAGTGACTTAAAAGGAGACTTTTCTTTGTGTCCATATGGTGAAAAGATTGTCTTCTACCTACACAATTTTGAGAGACATTTGTTTAATGAGAAAAAAACATGAAAAAAGAAAGAAAATGGGAATATGATAATCTTTTTACCTCAGGCATTAAGACAGATGCTGAGGAAGTAAGATAATTTAATCTCTGGAATTTATGACTTTAACATCAGTGCTAAATTATATAGTCTGAAAGGTCCAGACAGACGAGAAGAGTGTTAGATTATTTGCAATACAGTCTTCATAAATTCCTATGATATTCACAGCCTAGAGAGAAATATAATGAATTCTCTTAAATTCCTGTTATTTTTTTCCAGCAAGATTATCATAAGTGAGGTATTAATGAGATCGGATTCTTTTTAGGAATGATTTCCAATAAACAGAACTGATTAAGTACAGCCACTCCTGTTGAACCCATAGACTAAATTTCAAAGATAAAGTCATATCAGAAAAATCTCTCAGACGAACTGGTAGTAGAACAATAATTCCTTTAAGGTGGAAAAATGTCGCTTGGAAGCTATAAAATAAATGCATTATTCTCAATTAAAATTTGTTTTCCCTATTATTTTACCTTCTTAAGATGAATCACTAACTATTTGAATTACTGTAGGGCTCAAAGGGGGTATTTCTGTAATATTTTGTAAGAAAATCATTATTCTGCTGCCTGAGAAGACTTCACACTGCTGGAGAAATGAAAAGACCTTTAGCTGTCCTGACGAGTCCTGAGGTGCCCGCTGTCACAGCAGCTCCCTTGCGCCCTGCAGCACAGACGCAGCAAGGGACAAGGGCCGTGTCCAACACAGCTGGGCCAGGAAAGTTCATTTTGACATGCTTTTCATGCGTCGTGGAACATCCTCCTTTTTAACATTAAAAACGGTGTCGTTCAAGGTCCTTATAAAAGCATACTTTAGGCTCTTCAGGCTGCCGCCTACTCACAGGTCTGGATACTCTGGCAGTGTTTTCAAACCCACAAGATTAGTTCATGAAAGGAAAATGGAAGGTCTACAAGTTTAGATTTTGAAACTGGAACAGACATGATCTTCAATCGATCTAAATCCATTCTATCACAGTCTGCTTTAGTTTTGCATCTGATTTGCAAAATTACTGTCATGAGGCTTGACATCCTATGAATGAGCTGTATTCCCAGAGAATGAATGTTTCTGGAGCAAGTTTAGAAATCACGAAAACACTTCAAAATCTTCCATTTTAACTGCAGAGAGGTTTAGAGTTGAAAAGTCTTAACGATTATCCCAATTTGCCATCTGTTTCAAAGATGCTATGAATTCTTCAAATGTGAAATCTCTCCTGATTAAAAAAAAAAACTAATCTGAGTTATTGTCAAATATGAAGGTTGGTGTCTGGTCATCGTGTGGTGAAGGCTTCTCTGCGTTATTATTCTAACAGCTTTTATGTTAAATGCAGGCAGTGCAGGTGAAGTCATCATGCTAGTCATTTGCATTCATCTTTAGAATTAATTGAAACAATCCAGTCGTCCCTGAACACCTGATTCTTATGGAGGCATCAGCAGTTCAGATGCCCAAGGACAGTGATTCAGAACTGGATAATTACCTTGTTTTTCTCCTGTGAAATGTTAAGAACGGATTACTCACTCTTAAAATTGCAGTTTTGTTTTTATAAAAGAAGCACTTACATCCTTGGAATGGGAAGTAGATTAGTCTCCCCTGCCACGCTGCTGCTTCCTTCACTGTCCACGCTATACCCACTGCCAACGCTGCTGCCCGAGGAGCCGGTGGACACGGAGCTCTCTGCAGGCCGGTGATTGGCGGGCTTTGCTGCATGACGTGGGGAGAGCCAACACCACAGTCAACAAGTGAGGTTCACTTTTATCTCCAAAGGTAAAATCACACATGTGCATACAATTCATAGAAAGGACCGGCAGAAACAAAGTGTTCCCTCTTCCTCAACCTGCCTGTCCTTTTCATTTTTTAGCCGGTAACGCACATTGGCAGCATAGAATTCCTTCACGTTTTAATACACTTGAAAAAAAAAATGTACCGGGAAGCACATTGCCATTTTTAGACTCAGTTAAGTAGTGTGCCGTTCTTCCCCTCTTTTTATCTGTACAGCATCACGATAGTGCTGTGGCAAACAAGACGGGTTGGGAGACTTCACAGAGAAAATACTTTAACAGAATCAAAGAAATTGCATAATTACTTTCCATGTTAATAGTCTCATTAGAAGGGAAATGCGTGACAGAATCGATACTTTACACTTGGCTCTACCGGCTCTCCAGGTGTTTTTGTTTTTAAATCTAAAGTTGTTTTGTAGGTATTTTGTAACTGATATGGGGACTTATGTCAGAGTTTTCATGAGTTTCAGTTTTGAATATATGAGTCCACGTACCCATAGAAACATATACACATGTGTTTGTGCTGTATATTATGTAGAAGGAGCATAGCACTGACGTCTGGCAGAGCTCTAGATTGAAGGAGATGGGGCTGGGTTTTCCGTACGCAAAGTCGGAAGAGAAAGACCGTGCCTGCGCAAACTCTGCGAGGCAGAAGTTATTTAGCAGTTACTTGAAGCTCTTGATATGCATCCCTTGCCAGATTGAGTGACCTATCGTCTTCCTGATCTATGCTCACTCTGTAGACCCCTAAGGCTGAGCTGTTGTGTGCAGAAACAACGCCCTCGTAATGACGACCTTTAAAAGATCGAGATTAGGAGCGACATAAAACAGGAGTCCGATGGTTTGCTGGGCTTCCCATCAGATTAATTCCCAAGGCCCCCACTGCTTTCTTGGAATTTACAGTCTATGGCTGTTGACCAGGGTCGTAGAGCCCACCTGGTCTTTGACAATGAATTTATCTGGTTCTAAGTCTAAGCTACAAGACCACTCAGCATCCTTTTCCTCAACATGCATACCAGTGTTGTACCAGGAGGCCCGGAGTTGAATGTGTTCATGCTACGGGGTGAAGGGTTGATAATCACTTCGTATTGAGAGACCTATGTATTTCTTAAGGAAGTCTATAAACAGCTGATTCTTCGTCTGGAGGACTTCTAACCAATATAGCCAAATAAAGAGAAAACTCAAAGAAACTACAGGAAACAAGGCAAGCAGGGTAGCTAGTGTCAGGTCTTGTGAAGAATTTAGCTTTTCCTCTACATCTTCCTGTTCCATTACAGCACTAAGACATCCTTACAAGCTACCAAATAATTTCATATCTGTTCCAATGATGGTAGAATTCCTTCCTCAGAACAGGGGAACAAGAAAGGATTTTTTTATATTAGTCAGTTTATATATCTTATATATATGCTTATAAGTTAAAACCTGCTACTTAAAAGAAGGTCTGAGTGATAGTCACCAATAAAATACTAGTTACCTAGATAGATCTAGATTTGTATAAAATAATAGTTCTAATATTTGCTAAATATTTTATTCAATTTATGTAGAAGAAACCCAGATTGCATATTTACTGTTAAAGAAAATATTTTTAAGTGCATAATTTAAAATATAAATGTAACATGACTAGAATATTAAATTATGAATGTGTATACATTAATTAAACTTAATAATCAACCAGTAATGATTCAGATTATTCCATTAATTTAGACAAATGAAAGTTATACTTTAAATTGACATTAAATAAAACAACTCACTAGATTTTTAATAGTGGACAGTACGACATTGAAAGAAAAACATTTTCATTAACCAAGAAAAGGAGAAAAAGCAAAGCTAAAGCCAACCTCATTGTACTCTCTTCAATGGCAGTTAATAGACAATAATTTAAAACAACTTAATCTTACTAAGTTAAAACAATTTTTATCTAAGAGCAAGCACACTGCATATCCAAATTGCTACCTTATAAGACATATGGCTATAGTAACTTCAATTTATTTGTGGCTGTCAACCAGGTTGTCATGGGCTTCATGCATTTCCCATTTGCTTCCCATCAGAACAGTTCTTAATTCTGGAGGATCCAGTATGCATGATCAATATATCATTTTTTGAGATGGTCACTTTCTAATTTGAATGACGTTTGTTACATTAATGCCACATTGCTAGCAGTCCTTAGATATCTGACCTCGAACAATGATCAATTAGTATTTGATGAATTAACAAATGAATTAATGAATGAATAGCAATGCCAGTGATTCTATCCCTAAACCAAACACCAAGAATGCCATAATGAATTAGCAGGCAGTATTTCGTATTTTATCCATATTGTCTTTTAAAGGAAATATATACATCTCTCATAAAAAAATGACACCTGATATAGAAGATTTTCCTTTCCTTTTTTTTAAACTAAAGAAACCTGCTGAAATCATTTTTTGTAGCTTATTAGAATAAGTAATGGCAATTTTTATCTGCTATAACACGTGGAAAAATGTAATCAGTTGACTAGATTTTTAATCCCAATGCCCTCAAAAATTGGTTTAATTCAAGAAGGTATTTAGTGCTAGTATACTAAATACTGAAAGACATAGATTTATGTATAACAAAAAGTTAATAACAGATCATATATAGCATATGAATATTTACATTGTAATGATGATAGATAATACTATGTGTAGTAATGTTGTGTGGAACAATCACATTCACCAAAGCTAGAAGTTGTTCGTTTCCTATCCTGGTATACAGGCAAAGAACTTTGAATGTGATTTAAGTCTAGTATCTCTTTTTTCCTACATTTTGAGTGAAATAACATAGAAACATTAAAAGCTTGGTCTTCCATGATCTTATGATATTTGAAATAACAGCTTAAATAGTCTACCTCTGTTTTCCCTCCCAACTCCTTGAAGCAGAGTTCAGAATTCATATAATACTGTACATGAATGTATGCAACTGTGTATTGCATAGTAAAATGATAATTTCACAAGTGAACTGAAGTTTTTAAAAAATACCAAACATATTTTTGGGATAATTTTTAGATATCTGCTTTCGTTTTGAAACGCTAATCGCTAAGTTCCCACTGCAGGAAAGGCTGAACGATGCACGCACACGTGATGGGAACGCTTGCCGATGTGCGTAGGGCAACATCTTAGAAAGTCCGTTTCTTCTGGAGACTCGGTTTTTGAGGAGTCCTTTCAGTAAATGTTTGACCTTCTTGGAGGCAATGCAAACTGTTTAAAGTTATTTTTTCTCTTTGTCATAGCTAGATGCTGTTATGTTTTGTTCGTCTTGGCTGCTGATCCTCCTTAACTGTGGCACCGTCCCTTTGCACATCTATCTGTCCTCACCTAGTTTTCTCTAGTGGGATGCCCTGCCCCCTCCAGGAGACATGACGACGCAAAGCTATCATCCTAGCTACCACAGGATGGCAGCACTATTCTCGGAGAACTCAACAAATTGTAGAACCGACTGCAGGTGTGGAACGCTGGCCTTTAAAAGCTGGTGAAGGCTAAAGGTCACCCACTCTAGACCCACCATTTCGCCATCAGAAAACTAATCCTGTAAAGACTAGTACTGATTATGCCGTACAGCTAGTGAGAGAATTTAAAGCTGCCAATAGTTGTCTCAAACAAACAAAAAACTTGAGGGCTTTGGTTACTCTAGAATTCAGTGCTTAGTTCGGGACAGTGCATCACTGGTCTTACAGCTGGGGCACTAAAGACCTATTTCTAAGTATTTTCGGAATAATGCCTTACCCTGGCAGCGTGGAGACAGTTCCTGAATAAATTGATTTATCCAGCACTAAATCTTATCTTTATAGACATAGTCTGTTTGATTTTAGGAATGTTTGAAATGACAAGAAATTAATCAATTATTATTTTGTTTTTTAGAGTAGTATGATAGAACAGAACTATTTATCTGAGACCATGTGTTCTAAGATTTTTTTGGGCGGTGTGTTAACTTTAAGGACCTTTTCTTCCTTCCTTTCCTCCCTCCTTCCTTCCCTCCCTCCCTCCCTCCCTCCCTTCCTCTTTTTGACCTTCCTTCCTTTCACATTACTGCTGCTGCTAATTTTTGTACTTAACTCTCCTGAAGGAATTTTCAGTTTCATCTCCTTTTCTAAAATGATCTATGAATGTGGAATTGAAAATGTCAGCTTTTAAGTTCAAATACGACTAGCATTATTCAGTATGTTTTCCCTTAAAATTTGTCTGATCACATTTGTGCGTATTTTCCATTACAGGTCAGGATTATTAATTTAAAGAGAGATGTTGCATTTTGTAATATTTCAGAAGCTAAATCTTTCCTAAATCAACTTCAGTGTATTTGTTATCAAGTTTGGAAACATTTTTTTTCCAGTTTCTGAGATGGAAAACAGTACAGAAAGCTTCCACACTGATGTTTGCAGGAGTGTTCACACGCTCCATAAGTTTTTGCAATGAAAATTACTGAAAATAAGTATCTCTGACACCTAACTTAATCACCTGTAAATCTTGGAGTTGAACAACTGAAGTAAGGATGTCATTGAAACATCTTTACATAACAAATTACTGGTTGACTATATAACAGTCATTATAAGTATTTCATATACAAATGACTAATGTACATTCCTATGTTATGCAAACCATGATCCATGAAGTTCTGCTATCGTTTTCCTTGTAAAACATGGAGACACTTAAGTTATTCCATGTTCACAGAGCTTTTTCTAGAGATGGAAATGCAGATAGAAAGCAATCTCCTTTGATATCGTACAGAAAACTTGGTAACACTCTTTATCATGTTCATATGTTTCCCCTTTCCGTACATGCTGGTTTCATGAATGAAATTATCAAGACGTTTCAAGCATCAATTTGTTCTGTTTTTATCTAATACTGTAGTAACTGGCAGATGTTTCTTGTACTCATTAATCATTTGCTTGGGCACTGTAGAAACAGAATC